CGGCGGCGCGGCGGCGGCGGCGGCGGCGGCGCTGCGATCAACATGGCCGACATTTCCCCTCCGCGGCGTGAGCGGCAGCAATGAACTGTGGGGGATATTTATTCAAGTTAGTCCGAGTGACAGCCGGGCCCGGCCGTGCAGAGCCCCGGTTTGCATTAAAGGGGAATCCGCCCGGCCGGCGCGGGGGCCCGGTGGGGGCTGCGAGGCGTGATCATCTCCGTGTTGTGACCTAAGAGGGCCACCGGCCGGTGGGACAGCTCCGGGTCAACTTTAGAAGTCCTGCTCCCATCTGCTTTCCTCTAGTGCCTTCCCACCCCCAGTTTTGGGGTATTAGGTAGTAAGTTTCCCGGTGAAGTTACAAAACCTTAAGCCCATTTAGCTCCCAGAAGGTATAGAGGAAGCAGGTTTATTCCCGGCCACCCTTGCACGAGAATGTTATTAGCAGACACAGTATTAATGAGATAACCAAACCATTCCAATCAAAAGTGAAGTTAACCTGCCAACCCCAAGTGAAACGCTTACTTGGTGAACACATTATAAAGGCTGTCCGTGTGTATACGGCTTTAAAAGATGGGGAAAAAATTTTTTTTTAAATTTTTCTTTTCAGGCCGGATGGAAGGAAAACCATGCAACGTTTATGAATGAACTGAAAAACCTTCAGGCTGAAGGACTTACGACTCTTGGCCAATCTCTAAGGACAGCTTTTGATTTATTAAATTTAAATAGATTAGTAACTGGCATAGACAACTATGGGCAGGTAGGTTGAACATTAAGGTGGAAAAATAGTTGATTTTTTTTTTTTTTTTGGATGGAAAACAGTCCAGTCCCAAATTAAATGACGTGAAATACAAGTAAAAACATTGTAGATCAAAATCAGTATACACATAGTTCAAAGGTGAAACTCTATAGTTTTATATTCCCTCATTTTTCCCCATTAAAATGCTTCTGTAGTTGGAATTAGACTCTCAAATTCAACACTATAAAGTTAGTATAAATTTGGTTTTCAGTCCCTCAAAGTTCACTGAAGACATTAAAGGAAAATACCCTCTTCATATTCAGTTAGTTTGATACTCTACCTGTGGGACACCCATGCTTACACTAGTTTATTAGTGGTCTTCCTTTCTGTATTAGTAGAAAATGTTAGAAGAAATTATTTTGGCTATTCAGGATTTAACTGTACTGTGTAACTATTCTGAAAGGTAAGATTTTCGTTGGAGTATAGTAATTGGGCACATTAAGATTTCTCCACTTTTGAGGCATACAGCATTTTGCAACTATTGTAGGAGGAATTCAGAATTAATAGGCAGGTCCAGAGTTTTTGTAAACTTTAGACCCTTGGAACAAAAGCGGTTAGGAGTATATAAAAGAACTTTTCCTTGTGTTCTTAATGCCATCAAACGCCTCCCTTGCTTAAGAGGCAAGAGCTTTAAATGATGTATTTACTAAGGAGTACTATGGGGTAGTCCTTTCTAATTTTTTATGGTATTCCTACCCTGGGGAAAAAAGTACTGACGAGAGAGTAACACTGCACCCAACAAAGGTATAGTAAACACAAGGAATTAAATTTTTTTTTTCTTCTGTGTAGTACTGGGGATTGAGTCCAGGGCCTTTGCACTGACCTAGATCCTGTACCTTTTTTGGGGAGTAGGGGAGAGGGAGGGTCTCTCACTCAGTTGCCCAGACTGACCTCTGATTTTGTTAGATCTTCCTGTTTCAGTCTCCCAGAGTGCTGGGACTATAGGCATGTTCCACCATTCCTGGTTTAGGAATTCAATTCCTAAGTTGCAGTGCAAGCCCTACTACTATAATATATTTAGCTGTAGTTTACGTTTCTTTTCTCAAGTTCCAAAATCCACAGTTTCATACATTTCAGGGGAATTCTTCCTGCGCATATACTAGGGTCTCACCATGCAGTTCAGGCTGGCCTTGAGCTTACTTTGTAGCCCAGGCCAGTTTTGAACTCAAAGATCCTCCTGCCTCAGCCTCCTGAGTGCTGGAATTAACAGGCATGTACTACCACGCCTGGCTTTTTTTTTTTTTGGTCTTTTGAGAAAAGGTCTCACTATATAGTTCAGGCTGCCCCTGAACTCACTATATAGCCCAGGCTGGCCTCAGACTTGTGACAATCCTCCTGTCTCAGCCTCCCAAGTGCTCTGATTAGAGGTGTGTGCCACCATGCCTGGCATCCCTTGGTTTTAGAAGTTTTATGTTTTACTTTAGGATAACAGTGTGGAACCTCAGCATCTTTAGAAATGGTTGAATTTAGTTCTGTAGCGTTTAAAGTCACTGCAATCTAAGAGTGACTTCTCTAAGTTTCATTTTCATCATTTAGTTAGGTAAATTTGCATTTTCTTACCACATTACTTTTTTTTCCCTGTGTTTTACTTTTTAACTTTTTGCAACTTGTTTTTCTGTTTCTGTGAAGTAGTCTTTTTCATATTTGTTATATGTAGTACTGTATAGTTTTTTTATTGCTTGAGGTTTTAATTCAAACTTGATTTCATTGACACATTTGAAGCTGGCCATTATTTGATTACCTTATTTGGTGATCAGGTTGTCAATACATAGCAGGAGTAGTAATTTCTTTTTTTCTTGTATCATATTTTATAAATGGGAACAGCATTAGGATACATGCATTCACCTACTACATACTAAAATATTTCTTAGTATGTCTCCTTGGAAAAACTGCTTGTCGTAGAGAAACTGAGGACATTTGTAATTTAAACCTGCGTTTTCCTTTTCCCAGTTGTCATCTTCAACCAGAAAATACTTTAGTTCTTGTTTATACATCTTATGAAAAGTTTGAGATTGAAGGTGATCCTGCTTTGCTGATCACTTTGAACAAGAAAATAGGCTGGAGATTGTGACGTTTTTGCATGTTAGGATATATTAATTTAAATACAGGCAGAGATTTTATTTTGATAAGCAAAGATGTAGGGAGCAGCAGTATGTCCTGTATTGGTATCTAAAAATGAAGCTAGCATTTTTTAAAACAATTAAAGACGCTACAGTTTATGAATGGAAGTGATTATTTGAGTAAATTGTTTAATAAAAAAATCCTGAAAGATTTTTTTAACACAAAACTTTTTTATGTTGACTTAAGTAGTTCTTTTTTTAGTCATACAAATGCTATAAACTATCAGGAGTTTGAGTGTCTCATATATTTATTACAATATGTCATTCTTGTGTTTTCTATGTAATAGTACTTATAAATCTGCCTGTTTTCTGTGGAATATTTTTATTCTGTAACCTTGGTGTTTTTATATAAGTACCTCATATTCTATACTAAGATCTGTGAAATCCGCAGTACTGAATACTTGTATATAATCTCAGTAGTTGGGGCAAATGAGAAAAGGTGATGTAGATGGAAGAGATACAGAGTATCTGAAAAACCTTAAAAGTTCCTGAATTATTTTAAGTACAGTATCTAAATATGAGTTATATGTTTGTATTTGTGTATTTATATACATAATTCTTTCATTTACAGGCACATATGTGGTTTTTTTCATGACTAATTATAAGAGTATTAATGTCCGTGTTGCACTTAATAATTTAGTTAACATTCTTAATTGTTTGGGTACTTGTTAGGATGCTTAGGATTTGCAGGACATCAGTAAAGTTAATGTAGCTGAGGAAAAAAAGAATGATTCTTGGTGAATGTTTTCTCAAACACTTTGGATATCTCACTAAAAATTTCTCTGCATAGAAGCTTTTATAAATATTTAATTTTGATAATCAGTAACATTTGCTGATGTTTTTAGAGTCATGGCACAGTGTGTAGCCTCTAGTGTCTCTTTATAGTATCACCTTACTAAATTGCTTATCACTGCAGGTCAGTTTGATATTTTTTTCTACATATGGTCAACAGTTTCAAGTAATAGTGATGCTTTGAGAGCCACTGAAAATCTGAACCAGTGCAAATATATAAAATTAGAAAATATACAAAGTTTTAGATAATTATTAAAGTTTCATGTTTTGAATGTTGATCAGTTTATTTTCATGCTGTTGCAATTTCTGTTATTCTATCAGTGTTTTCAACTTTTGTTGTTGTTGTTTTGTTTTAATTAGGTTTCAGCTTGCATTATTTGCTAACTTAAATCTTACTCTGACCTGCAAGTCATCATTTTTGCCACTGGCTTCACTCTACACTCCCATGCCCTAATCAATATACTAGAACTGATTAGAGTGTTTTGTTACATCACTGAGAATAATACCTGATCTGCACTGTGTGCTGGATGAAGACAGTCCTTGACCAATGTCTTAAAAGGAGATAAAATGTGTTTTAATTTTTCTGAGGGTGTTAAACACTGTTGACTTCTTTGAAAAATAATAGCTTTTGTGTAAAGTCAAATTGAATGATTCTTAGGGAGAATAATTTTACATCCATTTTAGTATGTGTGCTGCTGAAGGGAACACAATGTTACCTCCTTTTATTCTTGAGCTAAAAGGTCTATTTGTGAATTCTGCAGATAATCCAGATAAAATTCTAATGTTACTGCTTTTTTCTTTTCAAGTAGTACCTGTGTTTGCCACCCGATGTGGAGTTTGCTAATGGAAGCATAATTTTACCAAACGCTTCTGTTGGTGAACCAAGTTGTTCATGAACAGAAGCGTTTGTGAACTGAGATATTACTGTACAGACTTTGCTTTTAATATTAGTGGGTGAAACAAGGATTGCCATTGGTATAAAACTATAGATATCTTTTTAAACAAAAGTACTTGAATATACTATTGTGCTGAATATGATCTGGAAACACAGTAGTGAATATTTTGTAAATTTAGTTTTAATTTTCTTTTTTTGTTTGTTTGTTTGTTTTTGGTTTTTCTCCGGTACCGGGAACCGAACTCACGACCTTGCGCTTGCCAGGCAGGCGCTTTGCCGCTGAGCTAAATCCCCAGCCCCAATTTTCTTTTTTTGAGACAAAGCCTCACTATGTAGTTAAGTTGGCCTGCCTGTCTCAGCCTCCCAAATACTGGGATTCCAGATGTACGACACCACACTTGGTGAATTTTTTTTTGGTGTGTGTGTGTGTGTGTGTGTGTGTGTGTGTGTGTGTGTTTGGTGCTAAGGATCTGACTGATGGCTTTCCACATGCTAGGCAAACACTCTGACACTATGACTTTCAAAATTTTTAATTTTGGTGGAAAACAAGATGAAATACTACCTTAACCATTTTAAAGTGTGTATTTCAGTAATGTTAGATATATTTACACTGTTGTGCCATCAATATCCAGAACTTTATCATCCTGTAAAATTGGAACTATTCATTAAATAGCAGCTCTCCATTTTCCCTCTGTTCTCCCATCAGTAAGAATTATTCTACTTGTGTTTCTGTGTGACTACTCTCCATACCTGTTCTCGGTGAAATCATATGGTACAGTTGGCCCTTCCCATCTGCAGGTTCCAGAGCCGTGGATTCAACTAAACATGTATCAGAATTTTTTGAAAAAAATTGTCTATATTGAATGTGTACAGATTTTTCTAGTGTCACTGTTCCCCAGACAAAACATATTGTTTTAGATATGTTAAATGATCTAGAGAATGATTTAAGGAATACAGGCGGATGCATGGAGGTTGTACACAAATACACCATTTCATGTAAGGGACCTGGGCATCTGTGGATTTTACTATCTTGGGCTGAGGGGCAAGGACCTGGCACCAACTGTTCACAGCTACTGAGGGAAAGACAGTGTTTGTCTTTTGTGGCTGTGTTATTAGCACAATATCCTTAAGGTTCAGATGGACCTTATATGTTA